TCCTTTTTGAAGTGTGGAGCCCAGAAGTGGACAAAAAAGTATTCCAGGATAGCAATGCAAACCACCCCCCTCTGAAGAAACTCGCCAAGAAAACCCCAGGATAGGGTCGCCCTAAGTCGGAAACACTTGAAGGCACACACACAACAACCACAAGAAGCACAGCCTCCTCCTCCTCCTCCTCCCGGCAGGTAGTCCGAGGCTTAGGCGTCTCCTCCAGGCTGAGCCCGGGGCCCCCGTCGCCTTCCCGGTCCAGAGTTCAAATCCCAGCCGGGATGATGTCCATAATCAGCGCTTTGGGTAATGAGGGAGAGTCTGCCGAGCTGGACGTGCCAGTCAAGGGGTCACTGGCAGGAGAGAGAGACAGAGAGAAAGAAGGAGGGAAGGAAGGATGGATGGATGGAAGGGAAGAAGGGAAAGTAGGTGGAGGAGGAGGAGGAGGAATGGGGGGAAGGCATTCCCAAGACTGTGCCTCTGAGGGAAATGCCAGGGCTGCCGGCGGATAATGGGCCTTCCACTGGGAGGAAATCCACTGGGAAGGGGAAAGGGACCCTGGGGAGGAAGGGAAGAGGAGAGAAAAGGGAGAGAGCCATCGCCTAAAAGCCTCGCTTATTAAGGATGCATCCGTACTGCAGCAATCCTCACCCGGTTTGGCCCCCCTCTGGCTGCAGCCTCACTGTAGAAATAATCCGGTTTGACGCCACCTGAACTGCCACGGCTCAGTGTTAGGGAATTATGGGAGTCGCAGTTAGTTGTGGCACCAGAGCTCTTTGACAGGGAAGGCTAAATGTCCCACACAGCTACACTTCCCAGAATCCCATAGCATTGAGCTAAAGTGGGTGTGAGTGTGTGTGTGTGTGGGGGGGATCAAACTGGGTTATTTCTGCAGCCTTTAACATGGCTCAATGCTATGGAGCTTTGGGATTTGTAGTTTGTTGTGGCACCAGAGTTCTCTGACAGAGAAGGCTCAATGTCTCCCAAAACTACAGTTTCCAGAATTCCGTACATTGGGCCACGGCGGTTCAAGTGGTGTCAAACCGGATTATTCCTGCAGTGCGGAAGGCGGTTTATTTCATCCTCCTCTCTCAGAGTGACCAGCTGTTCTCACCGCCAAGGAGGAGGGGGAAAAACAGCCCTATATATATACATTCATACTTGTTAATCCTGCTCAAGATGTGGTTAGGATTCCTCTGGAGAGGAGGAGGTTGAAATGGAGGACACGTCCTGGAAAAGGAGGACGAGGCCTGGGTCCCCCCCCCCCCCCCCGTCCCCTCTGATGGTAGGAGAAAGCCCGGACTCCTCCAGCCCCTTCTTCTCAGGAGGCCACACTTGGCAAAGAGGCGCCCTGACTGCCAGCCCTGGCATTTGGCAACCTCCCTCTCTGGCTCCCTCTTTCCCCCTGAAGGATCTGGGGGAGGGAGGTCCTCTGGGAAGGCTTTCCCGAGGAGAACCGGTCCTCCCCTTTGGACCGGGAAAAAAGGCGGGCTGGAGGAGTCGGGGCCGGCGGAGAAAGAGAGCTTTCTCCACTCCCGGTTGCCATATTCTGGTGCCACTTGGGCGTCAACCCACTTAGGAACCCCAAGTAGGGAAAGGGACCCAGGGGAATGTCACACGTCCGGATGTCTTGGCTGGGCCTGTGGGTTGGGTGGCCCTCGGCTGCTTCTGGGGGGAGGAGGCCCGCCATTCCCACAGCCGCCTTGGGCCCTCAGCTGAGGGAGGTGGGGCGGCCTGCTGGGTGCTCATGTCCTCTAAGTTTCGGGGCCTTTCGCCCCTGGGAAGGTCGACCGCCTCTCTGTTTACTGCTGAGGGAAAAGGCCGGGGAGAGAGTGGCCAGGCGTCCTACTTTTTCAGAACACCGTCCTACATTTCAGTTTGCGCTGCAGG